CTGTAAAAGAGAACAGATCTTAAGCATTCTCATCACGCACACACAAAAACTGTAACTATGACAGGTGATGGATGCATTAACCTGATTGTGGTAATCACTTCACAAAGTATATGTGTATCAAATCATCATATATATTTTCAACAAATTTTATTTGTAAATTATACCTCAGTAAAGCTGGAAAAATCTTAACTCTGGCTTTGCTGGTTTTCTCTATTGTACTTTTTCTATTTCGTTGAATTCTTCTCTCATTTTTATTATATCCTTCTATATTCTTGATGTTTAACTTTAAGGTTCTTTTCTAACTTCCCAATATAGGAGCTTAGATCATTGACTTTTAAGCTTTTTTATTTTACAAGAATTTAGATCCATAAATTTCCCTGACAGCACTGATTTAGCAGCATACTACAGATTTTGGTGTGTCCTTTTTTTCTTCATCAAAATATTTTCTAATTTCCCTTGAGAGTTTTCTTTGACTCATGGGCTATTTTGTGTGTTGCTCATTTTCCAAATACTTAGGAGTTATTCATTTCATTTAGTTATTAGCTTTCGGTTTAATTCTCAGACAACCTGTTGTATGGTTTCTATCCTTTTGAATGTTGAAGGTTGGTCTATTCCAGTATTCAGTGTAAACCAGAGGAGAATTTCTATCTTGAAGTTGTTGGTTTTAGTGTTCTGTATGTCAGTTAGGTCCAGTTGGTATTACGTTACAACTATTTTAAATGCTTACTATTTTGTCTGCTTGTTCTTCCTGCTACTAAGAGTGGTATGTTACATTTTCCAACTCTAACTTGGGATTTGTCTTTTCTGAAAATTTTTATTCGACAATTTTTTATACATTTTGAAGCTTTGTTATTAAGTGCACATATATTTAGAATTTTCATGTTTTCCTTATCAATTGACTCTCTAATCACTATGAAAATATCTATCTCTAGTAATAGTTCTTACTTTAAGTTTGAAAGTTTGGAAAAGGACATACTGTGCAAACAAAAAGAAGGCAGATATAGTTTAACATGAAAAGGAGTCAAACTGTTCTAAACAGCATATGTGGGTTTGCTTAATCTTTTTTTTTGGATTTAGTACAATTACATTTAATATAATTATTGAATACTTTTGGCAGGATGTATAGACATATGGGCATGGCTCTCTGGAAAAGGTTACATTAGCTGTGTAATTTTCGACATATCAAACAGAGACATTCCATGACCCCAATAGCTCCTTCTGTGTAAGTGATGCCCCATATGCAACATATGCATATTAAATCTCAGTGAGGAACTAAGGCAGCACGGAAGGACCTGGGGAGTGGTGTAGGGAGTCTTTGATTTCTCCACACTTCACCTGTGTCCTGAAATTACCCGCACCCTTCATATTAGTCAAGCTTGATACTGGTTAAGATTTCTTTTTTTTTTATAATTTTTATTTATTTATTTTTTCCCCCAAAGCCCCAGTAGATAGTTGTATGTCATAGCTGCACATCCTTCTAGTTGCTGTATGTGGGACGCGGCCTCAGCATTGCCGGAGAAGCGGTGCGTCGGTGCGCGCCCAGGATCCGAACTCAGGACGCCAGCAGCAGAGCGTGAGCACTAACTGCTAAGCCACGGGGCTGGCCCTGGTTAAGATTTCTGACTTTTGTAAGTCTGATTTGATGATCTGACCCTCTGCGTTACGTCAGCTCTCTAAGTGGTTTCCCCTCTTCAATCCTTGGCCCCTTCAATTCAGTCTCAACCACAACAGCCAGAGTAAGCCCTTTAGAATGTAAGCCAGATCATGTTCCTCTCCAAATGGCTTTCTAGTCGCTCAGAGTAAAAGCCAAAGCAATGTATCACCAGACCTCTCCATTTCTTTTCTGTTCCTCCCATGTCCAGACACTCCTACCTCAGGCCCTTGTACAACTGTCCCCTCTGCCTGAAGGTATCCACAAAGGCGGTTCCTTTTTCTCCTTCCCAAGGGGACTTCCCCTGACGGTCTGCAGTTGCCAGCCCCTCCAACACTGCGTACCAAACCTCCTTTAGCCTGATTTCTTTCTCCATAGCCTTTATCATCTTCTCAGACACAATGTAATTGGTTAGTTATTTATTCATTACTTTAGGTTTCTCCTCAGCATAAGAATGTAATCTCCCCAAGAACAGAGGTGCTTTATTTTGTTCACTGCCAGATCCACAGCACTTTGAGCAAAGTAGGCACTCAAACATCTGTGCCATAGATGAACGAAATTTCCCTCTGGGTACTTTTTTGGCTGCATCCCACGTGTACATTTAGTACTTAAAGAAATCAGTCCTAAATATTCTATGATCCGTTCTTATTTCCTCCTTATGCCATGAATCATTTGCATGCATTTAAAATTCTTCATTGTGGCCTTTGTGAGTTGCTTTCTCTTAGGGTCAGAGAAAAATGACTGACTTGATGCAATTTGTTGAGTGTCCTTTATGGTGTAGTTCACCTTCATGGTCAACTCTAAAAAACGTTCAAGTATATTTGAAATCAATGTGGGTGCCCAGTTCGTTGGATGCAGCATATACATCATCTAGTTTGCTAAACGTGAAGTTCCAATTCTTCTATTTCTTCACCTGATAGTTTACGACTAAAGATCAGTGGCCCAGTATTAATGTGTAATTCAGATTTTAGAATACTTCAACACAGATATATAGGTGTGCTACAGAGTAAAGAACCTTCTAGGTGCAGTTAGCATTCTAATGAGGAAAACCGTATTGCAGACAGCTACCACAAGCTCTTCTCTTATTTTCATCACTGATCAGCATTGTTACTGAAAATAACGAGTCCACTAGTGGCTTGTTAGAATAACAAAGGTTAGAAAAGCATCTCTTATTGGTAAAACTAGTGGTATTCAAGATATTGTGGAGTTTGGATAGAATTCAGAGGCACTCCCCACCCCTATATAAACAAGGTCAAAGACTACCTAGCAAGGCCTTGGCGGGGTGCCTGAGGCTTAACCCTAAAACAGCAGTGTGTCCAGCCATTGGGTTGGAAGACAGCTCACAGTGGTAAGAGGAACAAAATCTTGCCCCTGGAATACTCACAACCACCTTGAATAAACTTTTCACGCAAGATGGGAAACTTTTCATGCAAGGTGTGGCTAGACCACCTAAAGAAACAGGGTTGCAACTTTGCCAAGCTTACAAAATACGTTCTAAGAACTGTTTTGTGACTGATTGCTAACCAACTTTTAATAAATATGTTGCAGAATCTGAACTGAGACCTATTTTCACTGTCATTCGCTGACAAGGCTGTGAGGGAGCAGCTGATCAATACTCACCTAATAGTGAGCTGGTATCTAACAATATCTAATAGAAATAACCTGCATGTTGTACATAAACAAGGTGGCTCAGGTCAGTGCCCACTAGGATTAAATATTGTTGTCACCTTAAGTCTACTTTGGCTGACACATAACACGTATACATGTAATTTTGTATGTAATCTAGTATTCCCTTGTTTCCTTCCACTTTTCGTTTTTTTAGATTTGTTTCTATCGTAAAATATATGAAATACATGATTAGAGAATAATGTAATAAACAGCCAAAAATCCTTATCAAATCTTAAGATTATATTTTCTTCAGATCTTTATTTTTCAAAATGACCATAAGTCTTTGACATGTAGAGATTTGTTTTTTAAATATCAATCTCTTTAATAAAAAAAGCAATATATATTAAAGCCTAGAAGGAAAATCATATACCTTTACATTTTGTTTTCTGTTTTGGTAAATTTTAAAGAGAACATTTGTCACTGGGAATTGTCTTAGTCTGTTCAGGCTGCTGTAATAAAATACCAGACACTGAGTGACTTATAAACAACAGACATTTATTTCCCACAGTTCTGGAAGCTGAAGTCCAAGACCAGGGTGCCACTGTGATTGAGCTCTGGTGAGGGCCTCTTCCGGATTGCAGACTGCTGACTGCTCACCGTGTCCTCACAGGGTGGACGGAGCTAGAAAACTCTGTGGGGCCTCTTATACGGGCACTGATCCCATTCCTGAGGGCTCCACTCGCATGACCTAATCACCTCCCAAAAGCCCCACCTACTAACACCATCACACTGAGGGTTAGGATCTGAACATATGAATTTTGGGGGACATAAATATTCAGACCACAGTAGGAATTTGAAAAACGCAAAGATATTAATTTAAGTAGGTATTTTAAGTCTAGGATATAGCTTGAGTGATATCATGGAGGTAAGATCAATTATGTGGAAAAACTAAAAAACACAACAAAAGGAGCAGAAATGAAAGGACTCAGGGTGGGGGGCGGCGGGGGGGGGGGGAGGTTGTAGCTTTACTAAAATATCTACTTGTCGGCAACTGTAAATCGAATGCCAATTTCCCCAAATTCTGGAATTACGATATTAAAAATAACTGTGATAAATAAATCATACATCAGAGTAGAATTTCAAAATATATTTCACATTTCTAGCATCATAAAAAGAAATCCCTGTAAGCATTACCTTAAAATACTTTTTATCAGAAATAGTTTGATAATAAATAACCATTTGATAAAGTTATATAAACATATAATCAGATATGCTGTACATGTATCATTTGAAAATATTAATATGACTATTCTTTATGGCATATTTCATATAAGAAAATGAGAAATTGCTTTTACATTATTAAAAAAACCTGGCAACCTAAGTTCACCAGCTTTAACTCTCTACCCAGTCAACTCTAGTGTCCATATCCTGGACTAGGAAGCCATCACATGTACAGACATGGATTCCCTGTGAAGTGCTCGAGGTTCTCCAGGATGGAAAGGGCACCTCAGGAGGTGCTGGTGGAGGAGTGGGGGCTGCCTCTCAGGTCAGGGGGCCCACAAGCAATAGGATGGTTTAGGGGAGTGGCAGATATGAAAAACTGAACCGCAAGTTTGCTATACTGTTAAGTGACCCACACTCCCCATCTTTCCTCCTCCAAGAAACGTTAAAAAAAATTTTTAATTTTAAAAATTGAAAGTCTCAGCTTCCGTAAAATTGTCTTTTAGTACTTTCAGCCAAAAAAGCTTAATTCTCTTCCTTTATTTTCTAATTTTATGACCAAATATCCTGAAGATACCGTTTTTCTTCTTTTAAAGTAGCCAATGTTTTCATCGCTTCTAGTTTTTCAACTCCAGCCTCTTTGCATATTATTTCCACAAGGGTATCATTCACATCCTTCGCCATATTCTTAGCATCTCTAGAAAAAAGGATAATACCATCAATGTTTAAGAAAGGAATTTTTACCAAATCCTCCTTAATTCACCCATCTAATTCCTGTTGCCTCTACTATCACTACACCTTAATCCTCCCTCCATTTCTCTGGAAAGTCTCCCAAGAGATTCCCCAGCCTCAGTCATCTATCACTCCTCCTGAAGCCCAGGCCTTCACCCAGTGACCACTCTAATATGCAGAGCTGACCACGTCGTTCACAGCTTAAAATCCCTCAAGGGCGTCCATGTCCCGGGAGCAGCCTCAGTCGTAGTAAGTGTCTAAGGACCTCACAGTCTGGCTCCTGCTCATCTCACTCATTCCCTTCCCTCTAGTCTCAAGGCACATGGTGAGACTTCACTCCTGAAGGCAACAAGCTCTCTTACATTTCTAACCCTTCATACACTCACAAACGCGCACGCGCACACACAATTATTAACAGGCACATGCACACACAATTAACAGACTGACTGAGGACTCAGTATGCGCCTGGTCCTTTGCCAAGTGCTTCGACAAGTCTTCGCCCTTTTCATTTCCAGGACAGGGTGGGATGCCCGCCTGTGTGCTCCCACAGGCCCCTATCAGCACCTGCTACACTCTAAGCATCTGCTGATGTGGCTTTCTCCCAGAGCGTAAGCTGACTGGGGGTAGTGAGTGAATCTCATTTATCCTTCTATCTCTCAACATCTGAACAGCACCAAAGCACTCAGTAGCCACTCGAATGTTTGTTGAATGACTAAAAGTATCAGATAGGACTCTAATATGTCAGTAACTGAATTGTCCTGGCCCTGTACACTAAAATTTCCTGAAAAAGTTGTCTATAGTGGCCATCTTAACTTTCTCAACACACTCTCCCCTCAACCACTCCAACGGAGCTTCTACCTCACAGCCCTTCCCTATATCACAGCAGCTGCCAGCTGCCAAACCTACTAGTCCCCTGTCTTCTTCTTACTTGACTATCAGCAGCACAAGCCCCCCACCCCCTTGGGAACATGTCCACTAGCCTTAGGCCTCCTTCTTCTGTGGCTGCTCCTTCTCAGTCTCCTTTGTCTGATCCTGCTTCCCCGAGGGGCCAGTCCACGTTAAAGGGCCACGGAGTTTCACTCTGAGCCCTCACCTCCAACCACCGTTATGAACGCTATCAACTCCACCTCACAGATGTGAAAAGTGAGGCATCAGTGATCGTTAACCCAGCTATTTCTGGGTTAACGTTTTAACCCAGTTTGTACGTTTAGGATATCCTCCAAGTTCTCAATGATCAGTTCTTCATATATTTGTACAACTGACTTTGCCTCTATGATTTAGAGGTGCATCTACAACTTTAGCCTGTATTTGACCATCGACAGCACTGTCCTCCACAAACAAAATGAAGATCAAATACTTCATTAAAAGCCAAATGAAAATGTAAACCAACACAATGTCCAGAATCTCTGCCCTTTATCAACCTAAAGAAGTATTTTTCAACTGAGAGTCAAAACCCATTAATGGGCCATGAAATCAACTTAGTAGCCCAAGCCAGCTTTTTTTTTTTTAAATAATAGACAAAATAGAACACAAGTTACCAGAATGTGTCATAAAAAGTAGAAAAACTAAGTTTTATTAAACTTGTTTTAATTTTATTTATATGTATTCTAGGTCACTATGCCAGTATTTCTTCTTCTCTAGCAGTTTAAAAAAAAAAAAAAAAAAGATCCTGATTACATGACTTAGAGAATGTGTTAAATGCCAGGGATGTGTCAGGATAAAATAGAGTTATTTCTTACTTCAAAATTTTTTTTTTTTTTTTTTGTGAGGAAGATCAGCCCTGAGCTAACATCCATGCCAATCCTCCTCTTTTTATTGAGGAAGACTGACCCTGGGCTAGCATCTGTGCCCATCTTCCTCTACTTTATATGGGACGCCACCACAGCATGGCCTGACAAGCGGTGCCTCGGTGTGCACCCGGGATGCGAACCCGGGCCGCCAGCAGCGGAGCGTGCACACTTAACCGCTATGCCACGGGGCCAGCCCCTCAAAATTCCCTTTTAATTAGTAAATTTTTTTTGTCTTTCATTAAAACAAGTAGAGAAGTTTAAAAATTTTTCTTTTCTATGGCAATTCCGGGTTTCTATAACAGATCTTGCCTCAAAAAGTAGATAAAACTTAAGAATGACTATAAATTATGCCTTGAAGAAAAAAGAACCTAGCATCCACATTCTCAGAGTCAATACCATATTTCTCCTTAACTAGGTGAACTGCAGAAATCACATATTCTTAGATACAATGAAATCAATCCAGAGATTTCAAGTTAAATGATTAGCTTCTTACAGAATGTAATTCTTAGAGGAGAAAAACATGTATTTAAAATGTCACAAAGCATTCCCCAATGCAAGAATTAATTTTCATGGCTAGTTCCCTGATAATGACAACTTCTTGGCTATTAAATGTTATGAAATCATTTTAGAATGTGTATTTCTATTCCTGTACTTAAGAATCACCTCTCTCATCCCTATATGTCTAGATTAAGTGACCAGTCCCTTGTTTCTTTAGTATCATCGGCTGCCCTCCCCTCCCCAGCACTTGCGCAGGACGGCCACTTACCCACACACATAAATGTACCCATTCTCCTGAAGAAGGACCCTTGCCACCTGCTTGCTGTGAAGCTGGATGCTGTCTTGCACGTACTTTGCTGGGGCTTCCTGGTCCCCAACAGGAGCATCTCTTGAGAAAGAAACCTTCAGGTGAGTTAGGATTCCAAGCTTATGGAAACGTCTGAGCTCTTCTCTGAAATACAATATATAATAGGTCACTGGAAGGTTTGTAATCTAAAGTTGAAAAAGTCTGAAATTAGAATTGTATACTCATGGTTGAGTCTTTCAACACTAGAAGTGTACAGTACCTGAATAAATAATCTCTATCTTTATGTCTGCAGCCAAAAAACAACCACATGGCTCCAAAGTCTCCATCTGGGTGTTGTTCTTGGAGTTTCTCCCTAAGTGAAAAAGAAAGTTGAGATGTTGGATATTAAGAATATGTAAAACCAATCTCTCTCTTGGGTCAGGAAATACCACCAACAAACCCAGACAGGTCTATAAAATCCATCTTTGCATTGCTTGAAAGTTCATTCACTGAATTAACATTTTACTCTCCACAGGGGGCCTTGGCCACTCCAGCAGACACTACAATGAGTAAGCGTATCTGTGGGCTGTAGACAGCCATGAGCTTTACATGACATCTCTATAACAAGGGCTATTCAAAATATCACACCGTGAAACCTAGACTACTTTCTACATTAAATATTAACAGCAATTTTATGAACAAGATTAACTCAACATAAAGGAAAAGTGGCACTGGGCTGTAAAAGGCAGAATGATCTGCTGTGGAGTGTTTCTAATATGATGGACACACCAGTAAGTGATGTCTGCCATTACTCTTTTGCTTTCTTGAGAAAAAAACTAAAACAAAATAAAACAACAAAAAAACTGTGACCAGAGGATATTACGCCACTATCTGGTGGACAGTACACAAGAACTGTTCATTACTTCACAAACAGGAGAGAAGCACAGTTTTATTTATTTTATACCAAATAGTTCTGAACTGATACAAAGCATACATCTGTTAATATCATTCTGTTGAAAATTACTGATGTTTGTGGTTTAACTTTGAAACTTCTGGTATAATTAGATCTGTTACTACCAATTTTATCTAGTTGAGGATTGGATGGAACAGCCTGCACATCATCACAGCATAAAGATGTGCCTGAACTACATACGCTATAAACTATAGTGCAGCCGGAGGAAAAAAAAAAAAAAAAAAGTGCTACAGTAAAGAGGGAAGTTCCAGTTCAAAGCAAAATCTCTAGAAAACAGCGTATTTACTTTCCCCGTGGTGACAAATTATGTTATGCTATCACACATTTGATAATAATTTGATAATAATTTGATAATAATTTTTTAAAATAAAAATTTTACAACCAAAGTCCAATATCCTAAAAACTACTGAAGAAACAAAAAAGCTATTATATTTCCAGCCAGGATCACAAGGGATACATTTTCTCACCAGCCAAAGCAAGCACGTACCTATGCTGCAGGAAACCAATGAAGGGCGCCACACCAGTCCCCGGACCCACCATTATGATGGGGACCGAGGGGTCATCCGGTAAGTGGAAAGAATTTGTTGTTCGAGGAGAGATGGATATCTGGAATATTAAACCAATGGTCATAAGTCTGAAAGAAAAGCTAGACAAAAGCATATAACCAAGATGATCTTTGCTAAAGAAATCAGAAAGCACTAATTCCCCTTAAAGAAGCTTCATTAAATTAAACAGCAGCATTAAATCTTAATAAAACCATGAACACATTTTTTACTACAGAGAAATAAACAAGTCTTGCAAATTTTTCTCTCCATCCAAATCGAAGCTGTTTTAAACATGACAAGCATGATATTTCTGAGGTAGAACACTGATACAATCAAATTCTTTTTTTAGGTCCATGAATAAGATCAGCTTCCTAGTAGGCAACCCATTACATACATTATGGAGAAATGCCCAAAAACATGAAGACATGATTCTTCATGTTTGCACGTAAGGGGGCAATGAAGATTAACAAGATGGGGTGAAAAGTTTTAAGTGAAAATTAGGCAACCGAAAGTGAAATTAAGGGGTTGCCCCCAAAATGATAGAGAAGTGTGCTATAATTGTTATTCTGGGTCCAATGTTATTCGTGTTTGTGCAAAACTAGAAGTGATACATATAGGTAAACAAAATCTTTTTGCTAAAATTTCAGAAGATTTTTCTTCTAAATCATATGCCAGGGACACTCACAAGGAATCAATTTGTAAATGCATTTCACTCACAGTTTCATTTTGTCACATGCATAAGTTACAGCGAGTGATACTAAGAGTTAAGAATGACAAGAATCTGTTCTATACACCATGCTGGTATAATTGTATACATTTTAACCTTTAATTCAAGGGAAATTGTATGAAGTTCATCAACAGGATGAACACCATACTTTAAAATAAAGAACTGGCAGAGCTGTGTCAAATTATTCTTCTCCTTTTGGAATGAATCTGTAATAATATTAGCCTTATTCACTTGATTCATTCATTTAACAATTTTATTGGAAGTACTCACTATGACAAACACTAGGGAGAGAGAAATGAACAAAAGCCAATCCCTGTCTTCACGGGACTTACGTTCCAGTGGAGGAAAGGACAATAAACGTGGAATGACGGGTAATGAGAAGACCCATGAGGCCAGACAAAACAAGATATGATGAGTAAAGCAGGGAACGGCTAATTTAGACTCCAACGTGGAGAAGGCCTCTGTGGGGAGACCCACGACGGAGACCTGACAGAAGCCAGTCAGCCACGTGGGAGTGTGCCCAGCAGAGAGAAGGGCAGTGCAAAGACCCTGACATGAGAGCACACTTTCTATGCTCCAGGGACAGTAAGGAGAACAGAATATCCGTCAGCTCTTGCTGCAGGAAATCTCAAGTGTCTTACAACCCCAGACACTCCCTTCTGGCTCTCCTTAAAGGCCGTAGGTAGGCTGCAGCTCTGCTGCAGGGACCTCCTTCACTTGGATCCAAGCCCAAGGAACATGCCTGACCCGGGTCATCCTGTCCTTATGTCACAGGGTAAGAGCAAGAGATAAGCCACACCACACCATCAGGTTCAGTGCTCCTGCTCAGACGTGGTATGTACCCCATCTCCTCGCCTTTCACTGGCCAAAGCTGGTCACGTGGCCAGACTAAACATCAGTGGGAGAAGTCTACTCCTCCCGTAGACGGGGTATCTGTAAAAAAAAAAAAAATATCTACCAGATGGAGGAGGGCATGTGGTGGATCATGCCAACACTAATACTCTCCATACTTCCTAATAAAATATGGTACTACTGAGCACCATGAAATTTACATAGTTTTAAATTGTATCCTCTATATCTGTACCTCAAGCATATGAATACTGGGTAGTCAATAAAAATCTGTTACAACAGGGAAGGAAGGAGAGAGAAAATGGCAGGGGAGGAAAGAAAGAATATGTGAAAGGCAACTATACTGAGTTCTTGTGATATGTTATGAATGTATTTTTTTTTTTTTTTAACTTTCTGGAGATCGTCTGCTATTTTTAAACAACCATGAAATGACATAATACTTTTATGTCAGTACTATAATATTTCTTTTCAAAAAAGGAACAGTTTCTCGGGTTCTCAGTATTTTGTTGATGTATAGTCAACCCAGGAGTATGGAGGGGGGAGGAGACGGACACACACTGTAAAGCACCTCTCTGTTCCAGGCAGCAGATTGGGAAAATATCAAGTTAAAGGGCAATTTTCAGCAGTAGTCTTCCCTTAAGCCCTGCAAGTATATATAAGAAGCCCTAATTACCCTTCAGGCCTATGAACTTTTCAACTCCAGTAACTTACAGCAACCAAACTGGTCATGAGATAATGCTACAAATGACACATTCATTTCTTCAATACCATGGTATTGGCACCATGATAAAGCCTGAAATGTTTTGTTGTTGTTGTTGTTTTATTTCAACCATCCTTCTGGGTAAGGAAACACAACTTTAAATTGTTCCCTATGCATGTGGTCTCGAATGAAATTCTGCTGGGTGCTATATCAAAATATAATAGATGTCACTAAGTCCAGATGTAAACGTCCAAAATCTGTGCAGAAAATCAAACAACACTTTCCTCCTATGTGTTTTAAAAGTGACTCCTGGGGCTGGCCCCGTGGCTTAGCGGTTGAGTGTGCACACTCCGCTACTGGCGGCCCAGGTTTGGATCCCGGGCACGC